ATTTATCTTAGGTCGCTACAATCACAATGAGTTTAATGATGACGATGACGACGACGATGATGATGGTAATGATGATGATGGTAATGATGACGATGATGGTGATGATGACGATGATGGTGATGATGACGATGATGGTAATGGTGATGATGACGATGATGGTGATGATGATGATGACGATGATAAAGATGGTGATGACAATTGTGATTATCGTTCTTAGTCAGATATGTGATTATGATTAACATGATTAAAAGAACGAAATGATGACATAGAATTAAATGATGACGTCAACAAAACAGGAAAAACGTCAGCACAAACAACGACAACAACAACCAAAATAACAAAAAGACATCAACGAAAACAACAATCACATCAATAAAAACATTAAAACACATCATCAACAACAACAACAACAACAACAAAATCGAAAACTAAATCGCTCGCTAATTATACCATCAAACACTTTCACTTCGCTCCTTTCCCAGCTTTCTTTCTTCTTCCATATTTCATTCATTTTAAAACTTCTCTCATTTTATCACTGTTGCCCATTTTTTCCCTCTCTTTCTCTCTCTCTTCACTCTCTCTCTCTTCTCTCCCTCTCTATTTTTCATTTTTCTTTACTCTTTTCTTCTTCACATTCTCTCTACCTCTACCTCTCTCTTTCTCTCTCTCTCTCTCTCTGTCTCTCTCTCTCTCTGTTTCTCTCTCTGTGTCTCTCTCTTTTTTTATATATCTCTCACTATCCTTTCTTCAATTTTTCTTTCCCATTAAATTGACACGCCACACGAGCCAATAAACATTGTGCACCACACATTCAAGCATGTATATGATATGATATGATATGATATATGATATGATACGATACGATACGATACGATATGATATGATATGATATGATATGATATGATATGATACGATACGATACGATACGATACGATATGATATGATATGATACGGTACGATACGATACGATACGATACGATACGATATGATATATGATATGATATGATATGATATGATAGGCAGGCATTTATTCACCTATTTATTCTCACAAGCTGGCCTTCTGAAGCTATTATTAATTGTACCTCTCATCTGCATGGGAGTCTGAAATATGTTAGGTGGGCGTGCTTCGAATGGACGGACGGATGGATGGATGGATGGATGGATGGATGGATGGATAGATGGATGGATGGATGGATAGATGGATGGATGGATGGATGGATGGATGGATGGATGGATGGATGGATGAATGGACGGATGGATGGATGGACGGACGGACAGACGAATGGTTGAATTGATAAATTTTTTTTTCACTCCGGTTTTAATTTCAGCCATAAAGGCAGGAGGGAGATATCGCTTAATTCTTTCGACTTTTTTTCATTATACTTTTCTTCTTTTTTTTCTTCTCTTTTACCTCATTTTTTTCATTATCCCAAATTTAATTTCAACATATTCATTTATTTCTTTGTTGGTATTTATTTATTTTTATTCACTTTTCCTTCCGTCTGAAGACGTTCGACCGTCCGCTCATCTCAATGGATGGATTGCTGGATTGCAAATTTTATTCCGTCAAATTGAGGCAATTGGTTGCACGTTTTAGTCATTAAGATGGTGATGGTGATGGTAATAAAATGAAGGTGAGTATATTCAAAATTATTCACTCATTCATTCATTCATTTCTTCATACACTCATCAATCCACCTACTCAATCAGTCAGTCATTCCTCCATTAATTCATTCATTTATTTATTCATTCATTTACTGATCCATTCATTCCTTCATTTATCCATTCATTATTTCATTCATTCATTTATTCATTCATTATTTCATTCATTCATTTATTCATTCATTTATTCATCTCTATATCCATTCATTCGTTCATTCATACGTTCATTCACTCTTACGTTCATGCATTCATACATATATTTGTTTATTTAATATGATGGCGACGATGATGAGACTGGTGACAATAGTGATGGTATAGTCATTATTCCAGCCTAAAACTTGAATTAAGGTTTCTGCAAACTTATGTTTGTAACTCTACTTAACAACAGTTTTACATACATAAGTTTACATACATACATACATACATACATACATACATACATACATACATACATACAAACAAACATACATACATACATACAAACATACATACATACATACATACATACATACATACATACATACATACATACATACATACATACATACAAACATACATACATACATACATACATACATACATACATACATACATACATACATACATACATACAAACATACATACATACATACATACATACATACATACATACATACATACAAACATACATACATACATACATACATACATACATACATAAATACATACATACATACATACATACATACATACATACATACATACATACTACTCGCCACAGAATCCTATAGCAACTTTCATCTTGCAGTTGATCGTTTTGTTAAATGTTTGGTCGAGATCGAGAAATGGATGGCAAATAATCGTCTTAAACTCAATCAAAGTAAGACGCAAATTCTTCTGGTTGGAACTTGGCAACAGCTGTCTAGAATTAAAATTAATTCAGTTATCATTGAGGACTCAAATATAAACTTCATTCCCAAAGCTACAAACTTGGGTGTCATTTTTGATTCTAGACTGGCAATGACTGAACATATCAAGTTTTTATCTGGTACTGCAACCCTACAACTGCGAAAATTAAAAATAATCCGCAAAAGCTTAACCAAAGATGTTATTCAAAGTTTAGTGCATTCGTTTATCCATTCTAGACTGGATTACTGCAACAGCCTATTTTATGGTTTGCCTGAAAAATCATTATCTGTCCTTCAGTCAATTCAGAATCGGGCAGCTAAGATCGTGGCTGGTGCGAAAAAGTTTGACCATGTCACCCCGATATTCAAAGAACTGCACTGGTTGATGGTCAAAAAAAGAATTTTGTTCAAAATATCAACAATCATGTTCAAATGTATAATTGGAATGGCGCCAGTTTATTTGAAAGAAATGCATGCACCGAAACAACTGTCTTTTAAAAATGTCTGCTTAAGGTCTGATGATAGAAACTTGTTATGTGTGCCCCAAACCAACTTGAAAATGGCTGAGAGAAGTTTTTCAGTATGTGGACCAACCGGACCAACCGTTTGGAATAGTCTACCAAGTCATCTAAGACAGCCCGAACTGACAGAAAAATTGTTTAAGAAATTATTGAAATCATTTTTGTTTTCATTATAAGATTTTAAGATTTAATAATAATAATAATACATACATACATACATACCTATGTCACGTGTTTAAACATTCGTACATCATCTCATGCAATTGATCCTAAAAAATGATATTGGCATACAAATTTACAAATTTACCCAAATACACATATAAATACACAAACATACTGATGTATACATACAGAAATACAAAGCTATTCATACCAATACACACAACTACCTACATATTTCACATTTACAAATACCAACTGGTCAATTGTATGGAGAATTTGTTAGCAGCACGTACAAACGCTGAAACGTGCGTGAAGATTATGATGCCATTATATCTTCTGCTCTTTTTCCCGCGGCTAAAATAAGTATAAAACGTCATCAGTTCAGCGTTTACTACGATTTAATGCTAATTTGATCTCCATCTCGTGCGATTTCAAAGTCGTTTTTTGAAGAGAAACTGTGCTTCATTATTTTGAGTTATTTTGAATTCTTCTTCTTTCTTTCTCGTACTTCATCCTTCCAGGACATTGGCGACCATCGACCTCCACAAAACCCGATCTTTAAGACTTTGTAGAAGTTGAAATGTGGTGATATTTAACAAGTGACACAAGAACTTCACGAATGTTATTCGCTCTTGACGGCGATCTCTTTCCCTGCAATCTTTCCAGTAGTTGTTAGATTTTCCATTCTTTCCTTCCGCATGATGTGACCAAAAAACTTTAACTGCCCGCGTCGGATTATCTGGAGAAATTTTGTATTATGAAGCGTATTAATTTGATTTATACCAATTTATCTAGTGATAAACAGTATAAAATGTTGATTAAATAGTCTTTTAACGATATAATTAAATTGATTTGTTTAATATAAATCTTGAAACTAAATTATAAAATCTTCGTAAATAATTACTTTTAAAGTTTGTGCGTATAAATATTTGTATGCACATTTGCATGTGTATGTATTTATGGGAATATGTTTGTTTATGTGTATGTATGTATGTATGCATGCATGTGTATGTGCATGCATTTATAAATGTGTGTGTATTAGAATGTATGCATACTTCTACGTGTGATTGTATATAGTACTCTATATTTCGACATTGTAAAAATGTAAGCAAGTATTTTCCAGTAACTAACTACCTACACATATAAATGACTGCCGTTAAATGGAGCAGGAAAAACAAAGTGACATGAGGTTTTGTTACTTACACTCAAGTCATTAAATGTGAGAAGTTTTCAAAACTTTAAAAAACGAATGCATGAACTCGTATATATCCACCCAGGCTTATACTTGGGATTTGGCTTGTTTCTCTTGCTTTCTTTCTTTTTTTCTTTCTTTCTACTTTTCTTTCTTTCATTATTTCTTTCATTATTTCTCTTTCTTTTTCTATCTATTGCTTTAGATCTCTAAATTACTCTTTCTCAATTTTTCTATCTCTCTATTCTCTTTCTACCAATTTCTTTCTCTCTCTCCCTCTTTCTCTTTCTCTCTCCATCTGTATATCTCCCTACTTTCTTTTTTATTCTTTTTTGTTTATATTTTTTTGTTTATTTCTAGAATTTTAATTATATGGTTCAAACTATGTAATTAGAATAATATGAGTTCATGAATCAAAGCCAACAAATTTTTCAAATGCCTAAACGGCGTTCCACAAACTGAGTTCTTCCCATTTGACCGTGTTGTTGTTGTTGTTAAGCCTTGGTTTCGTTGGTTACCGATTTTTTGCCGCAGTTTTTTTTCGTGATTTTCACCGTTTAAAAGTTACGCTGCCCGATGGAGATTAATTCGAAACTAATCGAACTTCTAAAGAAAAGCAGCATCAAATTATCAGGTTATTATTGTTCAAAAATTTACGTATAGTAAGTTTTATAAGTATTTATTTTATAATTAATTAAGTCTAACTAATGATTAGATTAGATTCTAATGATTAGAATCTAATCTAACTAGATTAGATTCTAATGATTAGAATCTAATCTAACTTCTAACTTTTCTTTAACTTTACTAAATAAAGTGTTAAAAGTACCAAATAAAACTAAACAAAGTGGATATGGCATGCTAATGTCTAATCCTAATTTTCTAACTAAAATTAAACTCTAAAATAACAGCCAACTAAATTTACCAGCTAAATTTTTGTTTATAAAATAAAAAAAAACACCTTAAAAAAACTTACCACTATCACTATCTGATCTACTAAATTACTGTACTATAGATTATAATAATAATGTCATTTTTCCACCATGGCAAACGACTGAGGTATATAACATATAAAAACAGTAATTTTAGTTTTAGTCTGTATTTATGTAGTTGTAGTCACTTGAATCACAACTAAAAGTTAAATAGATTACCTTTCAATTATTGAATTATCTATTAATATTCAATTATTATTTATTGAATAATTATTTCTTAAATAAAATAGACAAAAATGTAAATGTCGACGATGTATCCACCAAAACAACAGCCACACGTAGCAAGGATGAAGACAACGAAGACAAATTATTTAAACATTATTATTCATTGTGGGGCCACACTGCTTCTGGTGATGATGATGATGATGACAATGTGGATGGTGCTGATGATAATGATATTCCTAATAATCAAAAATACGACAGCATACCTAAGTTTTATACCAAGGTTTCTTACTTTTCAGAAAGAATCTTTATTATGTGTTTATTTGATTGTTAATTTTAATTAAATAGATGAAAAATTAAAAACGTGTTTATTTAAATGTTAAAATAGTGTTGGTAAACTTTTAGTATAACTACCCTTCTGTTTAGATATTTAAAAAAAAAATTTATTAAAATATTTAACAAATGATTCTGTACAGTTGCCTCAAGCTAATGAGCTGCTGAAGCAGAAGTTACGAGATGAGGGCAGGTTTGTATTGAATGAATGAATGAATGAATGAATGTATAGAAAAATGGATGATTGAATGAATTGGTAGAATCAAAATCAGTTAGTTTCATTGAAATTTTTTGTGAAATTAAAGTTATTTTAAGGTGTTTAAGTTTGTTTCGATAAATTTTTTTTTGTAAACAGTGTTGTAAACTTTTCACAGAAGTGCATTCCTACAAAGAAAAAGTAAAGATCTCTTGGACAATCTGGAATTACAAGTCATTATTGAATAAATTTTTTCCATTACTTCTTCTCTTTAAATCTGCAAACAACTAATTCCTGTGTTTTTATAAAAATCAGTAATAAATTTTTAACTGAAATGGCAAAAACATAGCCAAAAGCGACAAAATTTCTACAGACTATGTGGTCACTGCTGGAGAAATACAACAGTCCGCCAGTTCTTAGCAATGAGCAGATGCTAAACTACGATGACTTCAAACTGGTAGCCAATCAAGTCTCTAATAAGTGCAAGTTAGTCATTTCCCTCTTTCTGATTGGTTCGTTTTGGAGTTTAATTTTTAGAAAAATAATAAAGTATCAAGAAAAAACTGGCGATCGTGATGTTATCTGTATAATTTTTTTAAAAATATCTTTTAGCCCTCCTTGGTAATAAAATAACGACATTAAAACAAACAACTCTGAGCTCAAAAGATACAAAATAAGATTACCAAATATCTATGTGATGTCTATATTTTATAATAATAATGATATGATAAAATATTTTGATTAATTCCACCTATAATATATAATAATTATAACCTTTAATATAATATAATAACAACTAGGTGTTGCTATATTTTGATTGGCATCACTACCACTGACTAATGAGGCAAACTCACCCAACACAACACAACAGGCAGTTTTTCCGACCGTCAATCTTTGCCAAACTCCTAACCGACGACCCATATGGTAGGATATCGACACTGCATTTCTTCAACTACATCATGAGGAAGGTCTGGCTGCACCAGACGCGCATTGCTCTCTCGCTCTACGATGCGGCCGGCTTAGGATTTCTTCGAGAAAATGTTGTGTGTTTTTTTCCTTATTTCGTTTCTTTGGTTTTTTTTGGGTTTTTTCCACTTTGTACCAGCTGTTATTTTAGTTTGGGTTGTTTTATATTTTTCTGTATTTGTTTAGTTTAAATGGTTTAATTTTTGTCTAATTTTAAGATTCGTTAGTCTTATTTATTTCTTTTTTTATGTGTTAATTTATAATTTATTGTTTTGAGTTATTGAATACTAAATGTCTAAAACTAGGACCTGGAGAGTTACATTCTCGAACTTATTCCAACGCTACCTCAGGTTTAGTGGAGCGATTGAATGTATGGCTGAATGAATATAAGAATGAATGAATGGTCAAATGAGTATAAGAATGGATGGTTGAATGAATGAAAGAAAAAAAAAGATCAAATAATTGTCAGATGGCTGATTGATTGATTTACTTGTCTGGCTTTTGATTCAAGTGATTCAATAATTAATTGAAAACTGGTCTCGTGATAAATAATTTTGTGAAAAAATAATTTGTAACCATTTGAATGAACCAGGTGAATGAACAAACAAACGAGCAAACGCGCACACAAACACACAAACAAACAAACACACACAAACAAACACTGACAAACAAACAAACAACAAACAGTTGGACAGTCTCGACAAATCCTTCTACTCCTTCTACGTTTGCATGGCCGTTCGTAAATTCTTCTTCTTCCTCGATCCCCTCCACATCGGAAAAATCAAAATTCAAGATGTCCTCACGTGCACTTTTCTCAATGATCTTCTAGAGGTCTCTTTGTCTTTCTCAATTTTCTAAACTTTAAACTTTATTTTTTCGTATTTTATTTTTGCCAAATCAAATATACCAAAGACAACTGATGTTGATGAATGAGTTGAAGTCATATTTTTGCTTTGTCAACTAGATTTTTTTCATAATTTAGCCAGTTTAATATTTAGTGACATCTCTTCTCTAGCCAAATTAGTTTTAATCCATTTCATTTTTGTTACGTTGTATACATATTATTTGTTAATGCAGATTTAACAAGCAGAATCTAAACTGTGTCACAACTTTAGGTTTTGTTTTATCCATAAAATTTGACATTACATTGCCTTCCAATTCATATTTTCACGAATTTTAATTTAATTTGGTATACTACGCCAGTTAGGCTTGCCTATAAGATTGTTATTTCTATCTAACTTTTTCATATCAGCATGTTCAGTGGTTCGAATTTTTCAAAAAAATTTAGCTACGCGATGAGGAAATGTCTAAAGAACGGCAGGAGACCAACTGGTTCTCAACTCTCTTCTCATTCAAAGTTTATGGTCAGTACCTCAAACTGGACGTCGACCACAATGGCATGTTGAGTAGGGAAGAACTGTCCAAGTCAGTCTCTGTCCGCTTGTCTGTGTCTGTTTGTCTGTCTTTGGTTTTTGCAAAGTTTGGTTTTTGTTCTTTTTTTCATCTAATGCATGTTTGATTCACACACATAACACATACACCCACACAAGCATAAATAAAGAGCACAAAAATCAGTCACACGCACGCACACATACACACACACACGCACACATACACGCACTGGTAGGTACAACAACGGATCACTAACACCCGCCTTCCTGGATCAAGTCTTCCAGGAATGTTTAACCTACGAAGGAGAGATGGATTACAAAACTTACCTGGATTTCGTACTGGCCATGACTCACAGGGAGTGTCCGCAGTCCATCCAGTACATATTCCGGATCCTAGACACGAAGCATAAAGGATATCTGGATGTTTTCGACCTTAATTACTTTTATAGAGTAACGATCAAATACTTTCCTTGCCATGTTTTTAATGATTCTATCATTTAATCAAATAATTTTCGACCAACTTTTTTTGTGATTGTGTCGTTTTTTTTGTAGAGATTTCATGGTTTAATATAGACTGTTACGATTTTTATAAATCCGATTACCGCATAAATTTATCTCTAAATGTCTTTAATTCACCATTAAATTAACTAATATAACTTCCTAAGATAGTATCATTATCTTTTTATCTCCACATTGTATCAGCGTATTACACTATCATCGTATTTACTGTATTATATCATTATTATATCATTGTTACATCATAATTCTCACACATACATCGTCGATGTATCATTATCTTATCAATTCTCACACATATATCATCTTTATATCATTACTCTATCGTAGTCCTTGTACATATATATCATCGTTGTATCATTATCTTATCATAATCCTCACACACGAAGTCGATGCAAGAACAGATTCAGCAGCACATTCTAGAAACTGTTGTATCGTTTGAAGACATCAAAAATGAAATATTCGACATGGTTAGGCCAATGAAACCGAATCAGATAACGTGCCAGGACCTTGTAAAGAGGTGCAGTTGCCTTTTATTGCCAGTACTATTTAGTAGTAATAGCGTTACTATAACCATGCAAACAGATATACATTCAGTAACCAATCGGCAAATAAAGGCTGGGTATTTATGCAAATTATAAACAAATGAAATGTAGAAAGAAGATTGTTAAGAAGACGAAACAGCCGAATATTAAGATAAATTATAAAAGTAGAAAAATTATAGAAAAAGATTATGAAATGTTTTGATGAAGCAACTAATAATGGGAACTTCTGGCAGCGGACAGGCGAGTACCATTGTTGGTCTGCTGATAGACGTCAACTCCTTCTGGTCATACGAGAACAGAGAGGCCCCCAACCTCAACATGCCAACGGAGGTGGCCGACAATTAGGAAATTATGGTTATTTATTATTACTATAATTATTATTATAATTATGAATATTTATTGCGATTAAAATGTTTGCTATTTCTCGGGAATATTCACAACAAACGAACGGCGTAGTCTTTTAATCTAGAGTTGCTTGGTGGATCAATGCACCTAACACACCACATGCGACGAAACGTGACTTCTTTGCTTTTGAAATCTTACTAATATAATTTTTAATTATTATAAAACTATAATTATAATATTAATAATATTTTTTTAGCCCCAAGAACACGAATTGAGAAAAAAAATTGTTAATCTTGAAAAATGGTTCTCAACAAATGACCATCAACATCATCTTTATTATTATTATACGATACAGGTTGTATTTTAACTAAAACCATCAGCCAAAATGTGTTTATTGTTTTGTGTAGTAAATGCTCTATTCATTCTGTTATGATTCTGGATGATCTATATAGCAGTTGTGTGTGGTTACAACATACAAAATGGTACATAAGTGATAAATATGGAACTATCGCCTATGAAATTTCGTTTCGATTTTGAATTGAGTGTATGGATTTCTGTTTTATGAAGTAACGATAATGTTCAGTTTCATTCAATGTTTGTGACTGTAGCTTATGCCATTGTATAAAAATAACGGCGGAATTTAATTAAATATTAAGAATAACTTGAAGATTAATTCACTTTAGGTAAGTTTTTTTCAAATAAAATCGTAAAGATATCGCATTATTTCGAATCCGACAGACCTGGAAAATGAAAGGAATTCATTTAATTTTAATTTTTACAGAAAATCTTTAAAATTTAACAAAATAATCAAAGAAAGTAAGCGAAATAACATTTTTAAAAAACAAACTCGACCAACAACCATTTCAATTACATATAACATCTAACTAAAGTTACAAGTTTTAACAACGGAAGGCAAACAAGAAACTCCAACATGCAACAATATTAGCAACATAAAGGATGACCATCAAGAACTAACTTAGCAACAGATTTGATCTGTTCTAAAGTGACCAGACATTTATACTTCTGACCATCTAGCTGGTCGACCATCGATGATTGAGACAACAATCCTAAACTGACCAAAGAAGATATCTGAAATTTTTTTTGTACCCTTTAAACCGAAGAAAAAAATACTTTAGAAAAAAGCAGTGATTAGCACAGTATGCACGGTAAGTTTCTTTGAAGTAGCATTATGTACATAGACTGCATCATAGACAAAACAGGAAGAGCAGTTTGTTAAAAACGATATAAAATCTACAACAGTACACGTGTAACCTGTGAGAAGGTATTAGCAGTAGGCACAACCTTCTCCTCAACGATGGAATAAAATATTGCCATCATTCGGTCCAGTGGAAAGAACTTTGGACCAAGCAGGTGGCACGATGTCTGGAGAATTATTAATTTTAATACTCAGAGAAATCAAAGACACAGCACTTGAACCCAGCCAGGCACTACGCACATTGCGTGTGATAAGTAGGAAGGGATCTGGCTAGGCAGGGAACCCGGTTACTGCAACAGCAGGACTAGGCGTCTTAGCCACTGCACTATGTGACAATATTTTAATGAAAAATCATTTACTAACTCTCTCTTCTTTCTTCTTGATGGCGTTTTTAAGACGTTTGCTCGTTTTGCCGGCATTCTGTTTAAAGAGATTTTTTTTTTTATAAGTCATTAATCAAAGCAACAGGCACGTCATTGAGATTAGAAAATAGACTTGTATTTTAGTAATAATAATGCCCATCCAATACCTTCATAAAAAATCTTTTGTCTAATTTTGCAGGATTATACGAGGCTAAATAGGCAGCAATAAGGAGGTATTTTGTGTATACAGGTATTTCAATGGTTGATCTGGTACTGGAAGAGGCTGAGGCTGTATGTAATGTGATGATATATACATAGGGAGAAGACATATATATGTTTGGTTGTTTGTGTGTGTGTGTGTTTGTGTGTGTACGTTTAAGTTTTTTTTATTAATCTTAAATTGAGAATGATTAAGACAATGAGGATGTAATGACGTTTGTTGTGAGAAAAACAACAAAAACAACGACGATAATGAAAATTGACGATGACAATGATGATGAAAAAAAATTAAAAAATCAGACAAAACTTTACTAGATTCAGATGAAAGCTGTTGCATTTTCATCCATTGCTCCCTTATTTGAAAAAAATTATTCCCACAATATCAAAATTAACATTTAGACTAATATAACTAATGAAACAATAAAAATAATAATTAATATTATTATTATAAAAAATAAAAAAAAGGAATAACGAAAAAGCAACGCAAACCCAGAAACTTCTCTGAGGAAGACTGTTTGCATGGCTCTTTTTAAATGTGGCTCTATATTTTTCCACAACTTGACAGTGTCACCATAGTTGGCTGGGAAAAAAATAACAGAAATAATAAGAAAAAAATAATAATAGTAATAATAATAAAAAAAAATTGATTATCAAGTAATTTTAACAAAGTATGCTTATATGATTGGACGATAAGAATGAATTGTAAATAAAAAACTAGATGAATGAAATTATTTATCAAAAATAATGAGTTTTTTGTAAGATGGATATACCAGAAATACGTTGCTAATTAAAATAAAATAAATTAAAATAATTTCAGAAATTAATAACAACGGTGAAACTTTGTATCATCTACCTTCTCCTTTGTGAACTGGCTCAAGATATTTGTCTAAATTGACATGAGCCTGAAAATGTTCAATTAAATTTCTATTAAAATTACGGACTTGTGATTTAAGAAAACGCAAAATCTCATAAATTCTATCTTTCTTTGCGATCTATCACCTGAAGACTAAACTTTATTATTAACAAATTTTTTTTCAGTTGAAAAAAATACGTATTTATAAACTTATAAAAATTAAAAAATAGCGTTAGAAAGTTCAGAAACCAGGTATCTTAGTTCAGTGAGATTTCTGCAGACCATATGGAAAACGTCAAGTAATAAATTGATGAAGTTTTCATAAGTGGAATGTGGCACATTGGCCGGCGTGTCATGGCATAAGATCTTCAGCAACTCATCTATATTAGTTTTTTGGTTTTTTTGTTTCAATTTTATTTTTTCAAAAAAGCAATTTTTTTTATAAGATACAACGCCAACAACAACATCAACAACTACAACAAGCAATACATCAACAGTGTATCAAAAATACACAAAAACTCTTATTAGATTAAGAAAAAAGGTACCAAAGAAACAACAGTACCACAATGGAATACGCCAAAAATACACAAACACCATCGTTATATTTACCAAATATTTTGCCAAACATCAATACAACATCAATACAACAATAAT